CTTGCTCCCATGTGGAGGGTCAGGCCTCGGGCAGGACTAGACGGTGTGTTGACAGTGAAGCATTGTGTGACAGCCCAAAGGGACGTATGGGATGGCAAGAAGTGTGTGCTCCACACATGTTGATAGGTTAGCCCAGATTCACAGTTCTCTAATATTATCTGGAGGAGTCCCCAGTGGTGCAGGTGGTTAAGCACTGGACTGCTAACTTCAAGGCTGTGGCTCGGACACACCCAGGTGCAGTGGAAGGAATGCCTGGTGAACTGCTTCTGGAGATCAGCGACTGAAAACCCTATGGGTCCCAAAGGTCTGATCCACAACCAGTCATGAGGATGACTCAGGGCCAGGCAGCATTTTGTTCTTTCTGCGTGGGATCACCATGAGTTGTGCTGACTTGATGACAGCTAACAACAAACCACAAACTTTGAGCTTACCCTGCCTGTGACTCAGTTTTCTCATCTGTAAGACGGAGATGATGCACCTTTTTCACAAGGCAGTTGTGAAGGTTACGGCACATAGAACGCAGCCTGGTAATCAATGAGTGTCTTAGTCTCCTAGAGCTGCTATAACACAGATACCATAAGGGGCTGGTTTTAAAGAACAGAAATTTCTTTTCTCACAGTGCAGGAGGCTAGAAGTCTGAATTCAGGGAGCCAGTTCTAGGGAAAGGCTCTCTCTGTCTGCTCTGGGGGAGGTCCTAGTCTCAGCTTCTGTAGCCCCACTATTCCTTGGTTCCTTGGCCATCTCTACGTGCCATCTCTCTTTCCCCCATTTGCTTGTTCTCTGTGTCTATACTGTGCAGACCCTGGGTGGCACAGTTAAGCACTCAACAACTAACTGTCAGGTCGGCATTTCAGTCCTCCCCATCAGCACCTTAGAAGACAGTCTGACAATCTGCTTCTGAAAGCTCACAGCTTTCAAAACCCTAAGGAGCACAGCTCTACACATGTGGGGTAGCCATGAGTGGGAACTGATTCACTGGTAACTGACAACAACCACGTCTATGCTCCTCCTTATCACTCAGAAGTGATTAGGTTTAGAACCTACCCTAAAGTAGCCTCTGATGTGGCCTCAGCATTAAAAAAAAAAAACAAAAAAAAACACTGCCATAGAGTCGGATCCAACTCATAGCGACCTCTCCTTGGGTTTCTGAGGTGGTATCACTATGGAAGTAGCTTGCCCAATCTTCCTTCCAAGGAGTGGCTGGTGGGTTTGAACTGCCAGCCTTCTGGTTAGCAGTCAAATGCCTTAGGTATTATGCCACCAGAGCCCTATTCCCAAACACAATAACATCCACAGATACAGAGGTCAGGATTCCGACATATCTGGGGAAGAGGGGGAGCGAGGGCCAATTTAGTCCATAGCAGTGAATGTGGAGCATGTACGTGGTGCTAGTCCGTGAGCCCAACAGAGGCCTAAACCTCTGTGTACTGGAGTGTGCTGCTCGGCAGATCCTGGAGGTGATGTTCACATGCACAGACGTGAGGCATTGTGGGAGCAGATGGCAGTTCTGATGATGTTGCTCCTTGCAGAGGCATGAAGGTGATAGAAAATCGCGCCATGAAAGATGAGGAGAAGATGGAGATCCAGGAGATGCAGCTCAAGGAGGCCAAGCACATCGCTGAGGAGGCCGACCGCAAATACGAGGAGGTGAGCGGGGCGGGCAGGTGGGTGGCGGGAGGTGGGGAGGAAACCAGCCCTGAGAGGGAGAGCCCGGGGCCGCTGAACGGAAGCTCTTAGGTCAGCTGTCACATCTGTTTTTCTAGGGGGGGTCGGCCATTTGGCTAGAAAACTGTACCTCCCACCGGGCCAAAGGTCCTGGAGAGCTCTGTTAGGTGGAAAAACCAGCTGATCAAATCACCCTTGACTGTCAGCAGGTGTTTAGGCAGCACAAACAAACAAAACAACAAACCCGTGGCCATCCAGCTGATTCTGACCCATGGCGATCCCGTGTGTGACAGAGCACATCTCCTCCCTAGGGTTTTCTTGGCTGTAATCTTTACAGCAGCACATCACCAGGCTTTTCCTCCCTGGAGCCACTGGTTGAGTTCGAACTGCCTGCCTTTAGGTTAGCAGCTAAACACAAACCATTTGTACCACGGACCTTTGGGCAGCACAGAGTGGCTAAAATTGACACGTGGTCCTCAACCAGGAATCTGCAGACCAGAAGGCCCAGTGCCCCTTCTGTGTTTCCCTGGCTCAGCTTGTCTCCCCTTCCTCATCTGCCTTACTCCTGGGGCCCAAAGGCAAGAGTTTAGATTTTCTCCAGGAGTCTCTGAGTGGTGCATACGGTGAACGAGCTCTACTGCTAACCAGAAGGTTGGACGTTCACATCCACTCAGAGGCACCTCAGAAGAATGGCCTTGTGATCTGCTTCTAAACGATGGGCTATTCAAAGCCCCACAGAAGGGAATCTCTGGGTGGTGGAAATGGTTAAGCCCTGAACCACTAACAGAAAGGTCACTGGTTTAAACCCACCCAGAGGTGCCTCGGAAGTAAGGCCTGGCAGTTTGCTTCCAAAAGGTCACAGTCCTGAAAACCCTCTGGAGCAGTTTTATTGGGTCACAGTGGCACACACGGGGTCACCAGGCCTCAAAGGAAACTCAACAGCAAATGTGTGTGTGTGTCGGGGAGCCCTTAAGATTACTTGAGTTGAAGAACCACCAGGAAGCCCCAGGCTGCTGGAGGTCTGGGCCTAAAGCTTTTCTGTCTGCACAGGGCCTTTGGGGGAAGGCCTCCTACCAGATGGGGGTGTCTGGGGTTGGTCTCGGTCAAGCCTTTCTGTCTCCACAGGTAGCTCGTAAGCTGGTCATTCTGGAGGGCGAGTTGGAGAGAGCAGAGGAGCGGGCAGAGGTGTCTGAACTGTAAGTGGCAAAACCGGACAGGTTGGGGCCAGCCCAGCCTGGGGGTGGGAGTTGCATGTGTTGGGAACTGGCTCTGGTCGGGGCCTCTGCTGAAGTGGTTGGGCACCTGGGACGCACTCGTCATTCTCTGCTTGCTGCCTTCCTGGGTGACAAAGAGAGATGGTGCCTGTTTTTCTTGCCCTGGGAAATGTTACCTACACGTACACTGTTCCTACGAAGAGACTGGGAAATTGGCATGTGTCTTAGTTCGCTAGAGCTGTTGTAACAAAAATACCACAAGTGGGGGGCTTTGAAGAGCAGACATTTATTTTCTCACAATTCAGGAGACTAGAATTCAGGGCACTGGCTCAAGGAAGCCTTCAAGGGAAGGCCCTCTCTGTTGACTCTAGAGGGAAGGTCCTTGTCTCTTGTCAGCTCTGTTCCTCGGCTCCTTAACAGTTTTCTTGTGGCATCTGAGCTTCCTTACTTCTGGGATGAACCTACATCCATTTATATCTCAAAAGGGATTGGCTTAAGATAGACCTACACTGCTGTGGCCTCACTAACACAACAAAGAATACCCTTTTCCTAAACGGGATCTCACCCAAGGTTTAATGGTTAGGATTCCAACACAGACTTTGGGGGGACACAATTCAGTGTATACCATGTGAGAGAGACATGGTGAGAGGGAAACCCAAAGTCCCATTTTCCCCAAGAGGCTCTCGGGAGCCCATGCTGCCCCAGCAGTGTCTAAATGCTTGTCTCCTGATGTCAGTGTCTTGAGGGAGAGGTAGAAAAGCTTGACCAGAATCCAGGGAACTTCAGAAAATAGGAAGCCTCCCCTGTGGGCAGTGGCTGAGGAATCCAGCCCCCGAGAGCTTCCCGCAGTGCCGAGAGATCACATTTCTCCAGTCAGCCCTGAGCATCCAGCGGAAGCTCTGGTGCCGTCTCCCAGCCTCCTGCCCTCGGCCTCATTCTTCCTCCAGAGTCGGCCCCATCAATCTTAGATTTCACAAGGCTGTGTTGCCTCACCCTTGGCAGGAGCCCAGGAGCCCTTTGCAAAGCTCTCAGGTCTTCCCAGGTTCACCGTGCCTCACCCTGGTATGATTGGGGTTTGATAAGTACACAGCCTTCCCTCTCGGGGAAATCCACTAAAAATGTTTTCCTGCATTCTTTCCGGGGGCCCGTTGTGAAAACTTCTTCTGGGGGAGCGGCTTGCTCCGGGGGAGGATGAATCACAAAAACCCTTTGTCTTTGTGCAGAAAATGTGGTGACCTGGAAGAAGAACTCAAGAATGTCACAAACAATCTGAAATCGCTCGAGGCAGCCTCGGAAAAGGTTGGTGACTGCTTGGGATTGAGGGCAACTGGCCTGCTTTGTTCTTTCCTTCAGCCTGAGGGACATGTGAGCATACCAAGGTGTCTCAGGAATCTGACCTTTAGCTGTTAAGATTTGGTGCCCGGCAGCCAGGTTCCTTTCCCATACATAGCGGCGTCCAGTGGCTTGATCTCCCACAAAGGCTCTTGGGTCTTTTTCCATGGCGTCTTGGGACCATCTTTGATCTCTGCTTGAAACGCGGATGGGGATAAACCTTGAGATTGGTACCTGGTAAGGAGTCGCTAGGCACCTGGCTGCTGCAAATGGTCTGCACTCAACTGGTAACCTAAAGGTTGGCAGTTTGAATTCACCCAGCGGCACCACAGAATAAAGGCCTGGCAATCTGCTTCTGCAAGGTCACATTCTTCACACCCTCTGGAGCACAGTTCTGTTCTGACACATGGAGTCACCGTGAGTCGGAATCACTTTGACAGCAATGGGTTTGGTTGTTTTTTGGTTGGTTGGTTGGTTGGTTGGGTTTAAGGAGCCCTCGTTTGATGCAAATTGTTAAGCATTCAATTACTGACTGAAGGTTGGCAGTTCAAACAAACCCGGAGGTGTGTTGGAGGAAAAGCCTGGCAGTCTGCTTCCGAATTGTCACAGCTTTGAAAATCGTTGGAGCCCAGTTCTGCTCTGCACTTGGGGTCGCCAGGAGTCAGAATCAACTTGGTGGTGGATATGGCTTTTCAGGTTTAAGGCTCCTGAAGGTTTAAGGAAGATCCCGGAGTTGTGGTGGCATAATGGTTAAAGCATTTGGATGTTAATCAAAAGGCTGACGGTTTGAATCCACCCAGCCACTCCACTGGAGAAAGATGAGGCAGTCTGCTTCCGCAAAGATTTATAGCCTTGGAAACACTATGGGGGCAGTTCTACTCTGCCCTGTAGGGTCACTGTAAGTCGGAGTCAACTCAATGGCTGGTTTTTAAGGAAGATTTGGGCATAATTGTGTGACTACAGAGCCCACTCTCACCAGAGCCTCCAGGTTCCTCCAGAAATACCTTCTCACAGGTTGAGTGGCAGATACCAGCAGTGGAATTGGCCCTTTTAGATTGAAACAGTTCCCAAAGTGGTCACTCCAGGACAGGCACACCAGGAGCGGCGTACATGCTCCTCCGGCCCCACCGAATTCTCAGCCTCAGCCCCTCCTCTTCCTCCCACCTCCATCTGCTTTGAGCTTCAGCCTCACACACAGTCCGTGTTTTCCCCTCTCGTCTGGTTCTTCAAGCTGCTTGCTCAGCCTAGCGTCACCTTCCTTTTCTTCTCTGCTTGAAAAAACCCTACTCATTTGTTCGCTGCTGTTAGCTCTCACCGAGTCGGCTCTGACTCGTAAAAACCCCGTGGCGACGGAACAGAACGTTACCCAGTCCTGTGCCACCTCATGGTTGCTGGCTTGTTCAGTCTGTTGTGGCAGCCCTTGTGCCGCTCCATCTCACCGAAGGCCTCCTTCGCCCTTGCTGGCTCTCTCCTTCACCAAACACGATGTCCCCCACCAGCGACTGATTCCTCCTGAGGACGTGTCCAAAGCAAGAGAGTCAGCAGTGTGTTGTGATCCACAGGGTTTCCATTGGCTCATTTTGAGAAGTCAGTCTACAGGCCTTTCTTCCTAGTCTTAGCCTGGAAGCTCCACTATAACCTCTCCTTCAGAGGTGACCCTGTTGATAGTTAAAACAGTGGTGGCGTAGCTCCCAGCATCACAATCACTTGCAAGCCACCACAGTATGACAGACGGACGGACGGGTGGTGCATCCTTTAGGGCTTGAGTAGAAGATCACTTCTGAGGTTTCTCACCTAGGTTGGCTGTTTCTCTGTTGTGTAGCCCATTTCTTTCTTTTCCTACCATCGTGGGTTATCACATTTATTGTAATGACTCAGTTCATTGCCTGCCTTCCTTGCTTAATCGTAACTTTTAAGGACAAGTTATTCTGTCGATCTTCAGAGATGTATCCCCACTAGCAGTAGCATGGCTGGCACATAGTTGATTCAGATATTTAATGAATAAATGAATAGATGCAGTGCGGGCTTGCTTGCCAAAAGCTTCCTCAGCCTTGAAGAGCTCAGAGGCTTGGTGGGAAAGCCTGACATTTCAAGTAACAACGTGTTTTGGGGGCGATAGAGGATTTTGATAAGTTGGTCAAGGTGCCACAGAGGAAGTGACATCAGAAAAGACTGTAAAGTGTAGTGGTCAGGAGCATAGATTCCAGAGTCTGTTCTAACCATGGCTTTGTCACTTAATAGCTGTGTGACCCTAGACAAGTTACTTAACCGCTCTGATTCCTCATCTGTAAAATGCAGTTAAGGATTTCTAGCACCATAGCAAGCACATGGCTAGCTCCGATGCCCAACTGCTTTGTCAAACACTAATCCAGATGTTGCAGAGATGGCTCAGTGGTAGAGTTCTCGCCTCCTGTGCAGGAGACCTCGGTTCATTCCCCGCCAGTGCACAACATGCCCGGCCACCACTGTCTGTCACTGGAGGCGTGTGTGTTGCCGTGATGCTGAACAGGTTTCACAGTTTCCAGACTAAGATGGACTGGTAAGGAAGGCCTGGCAGTTGGGATCACAGTCGTCCAGTGTCCCACCAATCATGAGAATTGTTCAAGATCGGGCCGCATTTCATTGCGTTGTGCGTGAGGTCATCATGGGTGAGAGGTTGACTTGACAGCAGCTAACAACAAATAGGAATCTGAGTTGAGCAATGGAGGACAAACACCGTTCCTGACAGGTGGTGACATTCCATGCTCGTGGGCAATGGCTGGGAAACAGGAGAGTGCACAGAACATGTTCAGGGAGTGGCCGGCCCCTTGTGGAAGTTGGTGGAAGATGAGATTAGAAACAGCCTAGGGCAACTATGTGAAGGGCTTGACTAGTGACTGATGTGATTGTGGCTGCATAATATTCCATAGTATGGCTGGAACACATTATGTTTGTCCATCTGTCGATGGACATTTGAATGGTGGACACTTTTGGGGTCTTGTGAAAAGTGCTGCAGTGAACATGGGTATAAAGGTTTCTATTTGCATTCCTGCTTGCATTTCTGGGCAGATACCTAGGAGTGGGAGCGCTGGGTCATATAGTAGTTTAGGGTCATGTTTTTGAGGAACTGCAAATGCTTTCCACAATGGCTGCACCATTTTCTTCATTGCGTTTTTATCTAAGTTATCAACTGGGCCTGCAGGTCAGTATAGCCCGAGGGGCTCTCCCACAGATACTACGCCGTCTCCCTGCCTGGATGGCGCCTGCCTGGATGGCGCCTGCCTCCGCTGTGCTCCTTGGCAGCTCTGGGCATGTGGACAGTGCCTGAAGGACACTTTCTCCAGGGAATTTGGAACTTGCATTCTTTTATCCCTTTTTGTCCTCCTTTTTTCTAAAGCTATATTTTGATTTCTTCCACAGTATTCTGAAAAGGAGGATAAATATGAAGAAGAAATTAAGCTTGTGTCCGACAAACTGAAGGAGGTGAGTATGATCACACCCAGCTAGTTCATGTGTCCCAGCAGCAAGGCCCCAAAGCAGCAATGGTGGTTCCTTTGTTTCTCTCCAGGCTGAGACCCGTGCTGAATTTGCAGAGAGAACAGTTGCAAAACTGGAAAAGACCATCGATGACCTGGAAGGTATGAATTTATCCTCTAAATGTGTTTAGCATGCCTCTCCATCCATGATGTATCCCCACCCAATTAGGGGAGATCCCTGGAAGGGCTGAGGTGGGTTTTAAGAAAGTAAAGTACGGAACTCACACCTGGAAGTCTGCAGCGTGGGAAGAAACCAAAATAAAACAAACCCACTGCCATCAAGTTGATTCCGACTCTCAGCAATTCTAAAGGACGTTGTAGAATTATACCATAGGGTTTCCAAGGCTGTAAATCTTTATGGAAGTAGACTGCCTCATTTTTCTCCTGTGAAATAAGTAGCTGGTGAGTTTGAACAACCCACCTTTTGATTAGCAGCTGAAGGCATTAACCACTGCACCACCAGAGCTCCTTGGAGCATGGGTACAGGATAGCGCAAATCAAATTCAGACTTGAGCTGCCATTTTCAAGATATGAAAAATAATCTCTGCTTAATTAGCTCCACATGTGAATACAGAGACGCAAATACAGCCCTGATTTCTTTTAGTTTGCTCTTCTGAGAGACGCCTTGCCTTTTTACAGGAGCTGTCTCCTAGAGAAGGCAGAGCTTATTGCAAGACGAGAAAAGAGAAATACACAGAATAGAGTCTCTGGGTAGCGCAAACAGTTAAATGCCTAACTACTAACCAAAGGCTGGCTGTTCAAACCCATCCATTGATGCCTTGGAAGAAAGGCCTGGCTGTGTGCTTCCAAAAGGTCCTGCCTTGAAAACTCTCAGGGAGCACTTCTACCTTGCACCTGTGGGGTCTCCATGAGTCGGAATCAACTTGTTGGCAGCCGATTCTGGTTAGAGCCCTGAATGAAGACTACAGATCTGGTGCCCGTATATCACAGAATTGCTTGGAGATTGCCAATTTTTCAAATGCTGCCCTGTGTTCTTTATGGAATAGCCTGGAAATGCGAGGATCTTAGGATTCAACCAGAAATCATCCAAACAGCCTGTCCCACCCAGAAAGCATATACAAATCATCAGTCCACCCACTGTTTGGTTTGGGAAGTGAGGTTTCCATATAAGAGAAGATGCCCCATTCCAAAGTATAACCTTTGGACTGGGTGACATCACTGGTAACCAAAAATAACCAGGGGGGCTGGCCTTGTCCATTTCTAGTCACTGCGCTTTTGAAGGTTCACTTGCTGTGTCATTATGACCAACCTCCTGCAGAACCTCAAACCACACAGCAGCCATTCCACGGACCCTTCTTTGTTGTTGGTTGTGCATAGGACATGACTCTTTCTCCCAGTTCATTCTTTTGTTTTCTCACTTTTCTTTCTTCCTCACGTTGCTCACCTGTGGCCCTCCATTCCGACCCCCGCGTTCTGTCCCCTGTACCTCTTCTTGCGAACTCTCCCTGCGGACCTCTGCCCTCTAGACGAGTTATACACTCAGAAGCTAAAGTACAAAGCTATCAGCGAGGAGCTGGACCATGCACTCAACGACATGACCTCTCTCTGAGGGGCCGCTCGGGGCTGCCCTCTGCCCTAGCAACACCACCACTGGCCTTCTCGCCGTGTGCCTGTGCCCCTGGGGGCTGCTGGAAGCTCCAGTGTCCAGCCTCCTGGTTTGATCTCTCAAGCCTTCTGATGTGTCTGTGACTGTCTGGCTGAAATAAAGACAGGCAGTCCTCGTCTTCACACCCTGTCATTTTCATATTTCTCCACTTGCCACTTTGGAGCTGTAGCTGGAATGCCCTTGGCCATGGAGGGAATGGAGAACGGGTGGTTCACCTTCTTGTGCTCACAGAAGGAAAGCGCATGTGAAAACTGCCCCAGAAAGAAAATCATGCCCACGGGATGCTCTCCTGAAAACATGGAAACAAAAGCCACCTTGGCATGAGCCCTCCAGGGCTGCATCCTGCTCACTGCACCTGCATGCCAGTGGTGGTTTTTCCTGAAATAAGAATTGCTTTGAATGGAGCACATCCCTTTAAACCTCTTGGGCAGCTCAGTAGAGTCAGCAGACCTGGCAAAGACCAGCAGACCTGGGTCAAAAAAGAGGTTGTCTAATGGGTGTGGGCTACGGATTCAAATATGGCAGTGGCATCTTGGTCTCCTTATTCCTCCTTTTCTCATTTGTCTTCTCTGTGTCACACTCTCTGTGAATGGACCATTCATCCAGCTCTCAGACCCAAGAGGAACTTCCCCCAGCAACTCCCCTCTGTCCCCTGCCCTTAGAACCTGCCTGTGCCAAGGATTCCAGAGCACCCCATTAATGGGGGGGGGGGAGCTGATGTGGTGCCGGAGAAAGGAAGTGAGGTAGCTCTGGCTTCCTGAGTTCCAAGCAGCACTCACTGGGCTCTGGCTCCTCCTTCCCTCAGGCTTCTTGAGTAAGCTATCAGCAGGAACCTGGGCAGTCCACTTCCACAGTGATACCGCCTTGGAAACCCACAGAGGGGTCACTATGAGGCGGATCCGACTCAATAGCAGTGCGTTTGGTTTTTTTGGTTGCTTTGTTTTAAGGAGCTCTGGTAGCACAGTGATGGAGGCATCTTGACTGCTAACCAGAAGGTTAGTGGTTCAAACCCACCAGTGACTCCACAAAAGCAATACTGGGTAATCTACTTTCGTAAAGATTTACTGCCTCAGAAACCCAATGGGGGCTGCTATTAAGCCGGAATTGACTTGATGGCAGTGGGTTTGGTGGTGGTTTTTCTTATTTATTTATTTATTTTTTGCTTTGTTTTAGTAAGAATTCACAGTTGGCCTGTGGGTGGTAAAAGTTCATGCTTGTAGATTTTTCCAAGATAATCCAAATTCTAGTCTATTCAGTTCTGCTCTATACCTCACTACCTCCATGTCCCAGAAACCCTGGTGTTCCAAAGTCCAAGCCACATCTTCCAAACGGCCCCTTGTAGCTGGAAGTAGCATGAACATCCCCTATGAGATCATCCACTTTTGGTCACTGGAGCTTATTATGGAATCTCTGGGTGGCACAAATGGTTGAGCACTCGACTGCGAGCTGAAAGGTTGACTGTTCAAACCTATCCAGAGGTGCCTCGGGTAAGACCTGGCAGGCTGCTTCTGAAAGGTCACAACCTTGTAAACCCTATGGAGCAGCTCTACTCTGCACAGATGGGGTCGCTATGAGTCGGAATTCGCTGACAGCAACCAACAACAACGTAGCTTGTTATGCCTCATGTATAATTCTATATTCAGGTGGGAATCTCTGTCTCAACTTTTCTTTATAACTATTACAACAAAACACTTCTCCCCTAAACTCTTGACACTGTTCCACCCTTGACCTCTCCACAGTCACCACCCATCCTGAACTTCCTCACGAATTCCCACTCCCTTCATGCATTGCCACGCACATGCCCTTGGAAAAATTACAGACCATGTGGGGGTGTGGGTGTTTGGGGTTGGTTTGCTCTCTACATATTTGCTTCCAGGGTTTTTCCAGAGACATTTTTCGCCTCCACCCTTTGAATTAACTGCAGCCCTGCCTAGCCAGTCATTCTGCCTGAGTAAGCACTTAGGTAGAACTGCATTTGCAGAGAATACTGTTGTGGTGTTCTGCTCATGCCTGTCAGCAATTCGCAAGGGCAGTAACATTTGGAGGGAGAGTTAAATTTATTTCAGATAGAGTCCCTGGGTGGTGCAAACGGCTAAGCACTGGCCTACCAGCCGAAAGGTCGGCAGTTCACACTCACCCAGAGGCACCTCAGAAGACAGGCTTGGTGATCTGCTTCCGAAAGGAGCACAGTTCTGCTCTGACATGTAGGGTTGCCAGGAATTGGAACTGACTCGGTGACAACCGGTAACAAAGAATCAAGTAGATTCTAGGAATTTGGGTGGCAGGGGAAAGGTGGGGCTGGACTTGTAGTCGGGAAACCTGGGTTTGAATCCGGGCTGTACACACAGCATTGCATCTTGTGCAGCCTTGAGTAAGCTGCTTAGCTTTTCTGTAACATATAGGCAGTATTTCAGAATCTCCATGAGGATTAAATGAGATGGGGAAATTGGCTCACACATAATAGACACTCGATTAAGATGTGTCCATCCAGACTGGATCAGCCCAGGCCAGTGTTTTTCTCTGATGGATTGCTTCCAGGTCATGGTCACTTGGGTTTTTTTAAGTGCCATGTCAAATGAAAGGGTCAGAAGCTGCAGCAGAAAGACTACCATTCTCTGCATTAATTTTTTGGGAGTTTTTTTACTTCTGGAAATTTCCTGGCTGATCATATCATATTTTCTGAGGTGTTTTGCTTTCCTCCAGTATTTTAATCAATCTTGGCCCAGTCCCTTATCAGTCATCACTCATTGCAAACCAGTTCTCTTGTGCTCTGTCATGCATGGCACTAGTGGGCGTTTTACTTTTGTTTTTATTTCATCAGCTCAGCCACTTAATGACATGCTAATAAACCCAAACAGACAAGTCCTTTGCTGGTGAGTCGATTCCAACTCATGACGACCCCACATGACAGAACAGAACTGCTTCCTAGGGTTTCCTTGGCAGTGATCTTCATGGAAGGTTTGCCAGGCCTTCTGTGGTGCTGCTGGCCATAATCTAGTTTAAATCGCCTCCATGTTGCATTTACCTGGGGTTTGGCTGCATGGCACTGCATACACGACACAATAACATGATTATGACTAGAGTTCAAACAGCCATTCCCAGAAGCTCCAAAGGAAAGATGGGTTATAGGAATATGCTTTCCAACCAAAGGCTTCACTAGCACTAGGAATGTCTAAGGAGCCCTGGTGGTGCAATGGTTAAGCACTCAGCTGCTAACCAAAAGGCCAGCAGTTCAAACCCACTAGCTGCTCTGTGGGAGAAGAGACATGGAAACCTGCTCCCATAAAGAGTATAGCCTAGGAAACCCTATGGGGCACATGGGGTGCTATTACTTAGAATTGACTCGGCACCCAAAAACAAAGAGGATATTAAATCACCCATGTTGTTGTTATGTGCCGTCAAGTCAGACCCAACTCATAGTGACCCCTCCTTGGGTTTCCGAGGCAGTATCACTACAGAACTAGGATTGCCCAACCTTCCTTCCGAGGAGTGGCTGGTGGGTTTGAACCGCCAGCCTTCCGGTTAGCAGTCAAGTGCCTTAGGCACTATGCTACCATACCTAGGACTAAAATCTTAAGTTTGTGTCACAGTCCATAGGTTCTGAAGCATTTCTCAAGTGTGCCTCACAGTAACCCTCATAACCACACATGGATGTCAGTATCCCCACTTGATAGTTGAGAGAACTGAGACTTAAAAAGATTCTATGGCTTACCTTAGTGGCACAGTTGGGCTTAAATCCAGGTCTTCTGACTCTATAGTTGCCAGATGTAGCAAATTAAAAAGCAGAACCAAAACCAAACCAAACTTACTGCTCCCAAGTCGGATCTGACTCATAGCGACACCTCCTTGGGTTTCCGTTTCCGAGGAGGTATCACCACAGAAATAGATTGCCCAGTCTTCCTTCCAAGGAGTGGCTGGTGGGTTTGTTCCACCAGCCTTTTAACTTTGAACTTAAGAGAGTCGTGAATAATTTTTGGTGTGCCTCAGGCATTTGACTGCTAACCAGAAGGCTGGCGGTTCAAACCCACCAGCCACTCCTTGGAAGGAAGACTGGGCAATCTACTTCCCTAGAGATACCGCCTTGGAAGCCTATGGAGGAGTTGTTATAACTCAGTGGGCAGTGAGGTTGGTTGTGTTTTTTGGTGGCATAGTGCCTAGGGCATTTGACTGCTAACCAGAAGGTTGGCAGTTCAAACCTACCAGCCACTCTGCAGAAGGAGGAGTGAGCAATCTACTTCCGTAAAGATTTACTGCCTTGGAAACCCAACGGGTCACTATGAGTTGGAATCGACACAATGGCAGTGAGTTTGACTTGGTTCTTTTTTTCAGGCAACATTTGGGACGTATGTATACTAAAAAAAAAAAAAATTCTTTGTTTACCTGAAATTCAAGTAATTCAAGTGCTCTGTATTTTATCTGACAATGCTTCTGACTGCCAAATTTTGGTACCTGGTCCCTAGGATTCCATGGTGTGCTGTTGTAATTAAAATGCAAAGTACTTTCTCAGATGTGATTTCCCCTCTGGCAGTTTGGGGTTTAGGCACCTTTCTTATCCTTTAACAAAGATGCATATTAATGTCTTTTTCTCTTCTCTCTTAATCCTCACCAGAAAAACTGGCCCAGGCCAAAGAAGAGAACGTGGGCTTACATCAGACACTGGATCAGACACTAAACGAACTTAACTGTATATGACCAGAAGAGTCTTGCTCCGACAGCAACTCCAGAGCTCCGTGTCTTTCTCTTCTCTTGTAAGAAGCCTCTTTCGTTAGTGCATCTTCTCTTTGCTGGAAATGTCGAGCAAATTATGAATACGTGGCCAAATATTTTGTACCAGAGAAGCTTTGAGCACCAGTTAAATCTGATTCCTTCCTTTGTTTCCAATGGCACCAGCTTTTTCAGTTCTATTTTTATCCTTAAGTTGCATTTATTCCTAAGATAGGCAGGGTATTTCAGATTGAGCATACTCTTCAGAGGAGGGCATTTGGTTCCTGGGAGAATAGATACACTGTCAAGAACACAGACTTGAATATCTAGTCATAAGTCCATTTAAAAGGTTGAAGCACAAAGCCTTCTGGGCCACTTGCTGGTCACACTACAGGAGGCCAGAGACCATTAGGATGGGTGGGGATTTTCCATCCAGAGCCAAAAAAAAAAAAGGACTATAGTGGGAAGTCATAAACCACAGATAGATTAGCCTAATCATCTTGGCCCTTTTCCACACTCCACTGGGCAGAGCAAACATCCTCTGATTAGTAAGCATGAGAATGCTTGGGAAGTAGTCATAACAGCAACCCTATGTGTTCTGGATGATCCTTGATATTACGCTTTTCCATGTGTTCCTGTCATTCTAAAGTTGGCCTTTGAGATGTGCCATTCCAATAATGACCCGTGCTTGTCTGCTCAGATATGAGGCCACCTGCTCAGCAGGAATGATTGGGGTGTTCAGTCCTACTCAGGGCTGCTATATCAAAAAGACTGCTAGCCACCAGTAAATTGGACCAAAGAGATTTTTTGTTAAACATTGGGCAGAAGGAGCCTCTCTGCCAGCAAAGTAGAGATGAAAAAGTAATTGGCTCAACTTCATCTCCTCCATACTTCAGGGAATAGCAGATTGAACAGGTACTGGTTTAAGACTTCAATTCCTTCTTTGGGACCAAGTTCATAAAAGACCAAGAAGCTCCTGATTAAACTGGATAATGGAGTATTTTGTAGGCAGGGCTGCACACGTTGGCTTTGTTGTGTTTCTGCTTTCTCAGTTAACATCTCAGAGCTGAAACATTCCACATTCCCCAGCTGCGTGGGGGCCAACTCAAGTTTACAATTTTGGCCAGAATCACCCTGCTTCTAGCTTATTCACATCCCCGGCCCCTCACTCCTATTTATTAAGCATCACACTACCCAGGAGACACACTAGCAAATTGTGCAACTGAATAAAACCCCACACTCTTCATTTAGATTCTTGCAACTGTATCATATGTAATAGTCTCTCTTTTTCTACATTTTGGTCAAATAAATTTTTACATAAATGACAATGTGTGTTGATTTTAGAATGTATGGGGACATACCAGCAACTTTGCTTCTCAATGTTTGGTGAATTAATGGGATGGAAAGGGAAGATAACTGTGCCAAGAACTTAGGAAATGTCATTGGCTTTATACCATGACTTCATGACACAATTATGTTCTTCATGTTCCATATGAGATCACTTTGCCTCCCTAACACAAAGCTCCTGTTCTTAGTTATCCCCAGTCTTGCCTGAGCCAGGCTGTCTAGAATGAACAGAACTTAATAGGTGGAGATAGGAGCAGGGAAGATGGTCATCACCTGAGTCAGGGAAGCACAAGCTCTGCTTGGGGAAAGCTTGCTGTGTGCTGCGGAAATAGGAAGGCTGGGGCCAGACTGATGAGAACCTAGATTTAATTTGGTCAAGAGTGCAGAACCAGTGAAGTCTAAACAATAAAGCACTGCATTAGGAAATTCACTTTAAGGAAGGACTAGAGTGGGGTAAGGAGCCCTAGTGGGGCAGATAGTTCAGTTGCTAACTGAAAGGTTGGCAGTTCAAACCCACTAGCTTCTCCGTGGGAGAAAGATAAAGCAGTCTGGTTCTGCAAAGATTTACAGCTTGGAAACCTATGGAGTAGTTCTCTGTCCTATAGGGTCACTGAGTTAGAATCGACTTGAAGGCACTGGGTTATTTCAGGAGATGGCAGGTAGAGGAGGGATCAAAAAGAGAAGTGAACAGACCATAGTGTCCTAGGAGACCGTTAGCTGCATTTAGATGGCCACTTGAAAGCTTTTAAGACCCCAGTTGCTACTCACCAATGTAGGACGCAGAACAAGGCTTTTATGTATTTTGTTGTGCCAACTGAGTCTGATGTCCCCCAGTACTATAGTCCTGAGACGGTAGATCTATTGGATCACTATCCCATAGTGTCTGGTTGTCTGTGAGGGATTACTCTGTGTCTGTCTTCTATTGTTTCTGTAATGATTGCAGGTATTTTGTATCACTGGTATCTGTGTAAGATTAGCCTCAGCTGAATCTATCCTTGGTCTAGAGTATACTCCTATTCACTGACCCCCATCTGATCCTCTCAGGTGTTTATGTGTTTATCTGTAGCCTGGTGTTTGGTGTTAATGGTAATGCAGTATTGTGGACACATTGGTTGGTATTAACATCTGTCATCTCATGTGCACAATTCAGTGTCCTCCCATTTCCTACTGTTATCATCGTGGTCACAGATCCTTTCTGTATATCTCTCCCCTTCCCTCCCCATCCTGGTAACCTACAAAGTAAGTTCCCTGTCCCATGCAAACCCTTCTTTGTCTTTTTACAGTAATGGGCTCATAGTCTTGTCTTTCTACTTTTGACTAATTTCACTCAGCATAATGTCCTCCAGGTTCATTCACATTGCGAGATGATTTGCGTATCCCTCATTGTTTAATGTAGCATAGTATTCCATTGTGTGCATGTACCATAATTTGGTTATCCACTCATCCATTGATGGGCATTTAGGTTGTTTCCATCTCTTTGCTATAGTGAATTGTGCTGCAATGAACATAGGTGTACATATATCTGTTCATT